CCTGACATCTGTTGGGAAGGCAATACAGCAGTGCACAAGCAATCCAGAAAGGTTTTGGAGAGTGTTGGGGACAACTTCCTGGTGCAAGTGCTGCAGCGGCCAAGTAGAGGCCATGCTCTTCTTGACCTGCTGCTCACAAACGGAAGAATTGGTGGGGAACATAGTAGTAGATGGCAACTTGGGCAGCAGCAACCACGAGATGCTTGAGTTCAGGATCCTGAAGAAAGGAAGGAAGGAGAGCAGCAGAGTAAGGACCCTGGACTTCAGTAAAGCAGACTTTGACTCACTCAGGGAACTCATGGGCAGGATCCCCTAGGACGCCAAACTAAGGGGGAGAGGAGTCCAGGAGAGTTGGCTGTACTTTAAAGAAACCTTACTGGATTCTCCATCCTTGGAGGTTTTTAAGACCTGACTAGACAAAGCCTTGGCTGAGAGAATTTAGCTGGGAGTGGTCCTGCTTTAAGCAGGGAGTTGAACTGGATGGCCTCCTGAGGTCCCTTCCAATCCTAATTTTGTGTGATTCTATGATCTGATTTTTGGAAGCCAATAATACTCAGAGAAAGCTAAAAAGAAAGTCTAGATGTCTTGCTGGCCTATGTGCTGGATAGAAAGGCAAGCTTGATTAGTGGCATGACTTAACGAGATTTACGAAAACCCTCCCTTTTTTTTTGCAGATTTCTTATTCTCATATTAAGCTAATTGTCTCCTCATTGATGGAGATTAAATAGAAAAATCACATACCATGTGTTACTTTAGCTGCCTAAACATACATTAGCAAGATGTAATAATATCTACCAATAGAAAGGTTTTTTTACCCATCATTTTCTCCTTCTTTACAACTCCTTTAGAAACACCCCCTATTTTTTCTGGTTTACCAACTCCATCCTCATTTTACACTCCCCTAGAATGTGGTATGTCTCCTTAGCCTGTGGAAGTCTTAATATCATCACCTTGAAATACTATCTCTACATCAGCCAGAAACAATATCACCACCAGGCCCTACTTATGCTGAAATCAAAATGCTACTGGTCCCTACAACCCTACAGCTGGGCACCTGGCCAGGCAATCATACAACAGGCAGACACACTTCTCAGGATACTATGCCTTACCACAGAGTACCTCTTGCTCACATACTTTCACCCTTTGAATTATTTAACTTGCGTTTTTGATTTATTTGCAGATTGTGCACTCCTAACTTAAAAAAAACATGTTTATAACTCTCAGTGAACCCAGTCAGCACTAACTGGACTTGTGTTCCTACATGCAAGGGCCTGCCTAGCAGCTTCCTTGGCCGATAATAGATTTTATATGAAACCATGTAGGAACTGTGGAAGTGCTTCTCATCTCAGACACTGTCATCATCTTGTGCTAGCTAGTCATTTTCTTACTTTGTGCTGACAATCACAATCAACAGCATCAGTAACCAGCAAACAACCTTAAGCATTCCCCAAGCAAGTCTAGGGTCAGAAAATTGACTTTAAATGGGACCATTTCTGTTAGTTCCTTTCCAAATTACCCATATCCTTGGAGTCATACCTGCTACAATTTAATAGAAATATATTTTATTTCCACTCTAAAACATATTTGTGTAAGAAAGAGGTGGCTTGAATACCAATAAAATGTTTTTAATCTTCTTTTTCTGGACACCACCACCTAACCTTCAGGCACCAATATCAAAATGTACTATGATACCATAATAATGGTTTCCTTTTCTTCCAGCACATCTCTTCACCTGGAATTCCCAGACAGCTTTAAAAGGAGAGACCATCCGAGGCTCTGTTACCTCTTCACCTTCTGCCAGATGAGGACTTTGACTGATGTTTCTTTTTGGACTTTGGTTATTGTCTCACACATTTAAGCTAGGTGTGTGCATTGCACTTAGTGCCTTTCACCTCTTAGGGGCCTGACCAATGATTGTCCTATTATAACACTAAAAGCTTTCTTTGTACTTTCTACTTATTTTTCAGCTCTCTAATTTGTTACCTGTATCACACAGATAACAGCAGGTCACACAGGAGCAAATAAATCAAATGCCACTGCAGCATTTCCTTTGTTCTTTAAAAACCGAATTGATTAATTTTTTTCTGAGCCAAGAGGTCTTGCACTTCTCAGTCCAAACAGTTTGTCTGAGCTAGTTTTAGAAGATGATATTATGGCTTTTGAATAACTTTATTTTTTTGTATGAAAATCACATTTACTTCTCAAGTTCTGAACATTCTCAAGAACTTCCAAATTTCATTTGCCATTATTTAGGGCAACTCTTGTGACACATATCTGTTCCTGTGCAGTTAATTCGTGCGGTTTTTTTCAATATATCTCATTCTAGGCTTAAGTTTAGCTTCATTTTTTCACAAGATTTGTCTGTTCCAAAGCTTTGCCTTTGCTGCTTCCACCTAACAGACACACCTTTTGAGACTTATTTGCTCTTTCTTTTTTGTGGTTGTTTATGGTTCTTTCTTACGCATCTCAAAGCAGCTCAAAGTTATTTCAATTTTTGCTACTCAACTACCTTTGCTTTCTCTGCACCATAACTTTTCTCCACACCTGAGTCTGCAACTATGAGAAATTGCTCTCCATTTTCTCTTGGATAAGACTACAGGAGTGAAGCAGTTGTCATTATAAGTTGGGTTTAATCAATGATTGTTTGATTGCTTATCCTTCTTGTAGTCATTCCTTTTCTGCTGTCCCATGACCTATTTAGCTTGAATTTATTCAACTTGGATTCAAGTATTCTACCTTATTCCTATGGCAAGACTCCCATTCAGGTTATTGCTGGCTCAGGTATCAAAGTTGAACTAGGATAACTTAAAAATGCAAAGATTTTACTCGCCTGTGGGCTTGAGCCACCTTACTGAAACTGCTGAATAGACTTTGCATATCACTGAAGTCCATCTGCCACCTTTTCCAACTTCTAGGCCTCACTTTGGCTCCTGAACTTTATTGCCACTAATATTTGTTGGGAATCAACTATTACTTAGTCATCTGTCTCCATCTCTTTGCTTTTCTTTGTCAGCTGTTTCTGTAGCAGGGCTCTAACACAGTTCAAACCGATTAACAGGTTTCTCTCTGAACCAGGGGGAACCACCTGACTTCCTCTCTATATCTGCTTATGTCTTCTAGTTGCTACAACCTTTACCTTCAAAAAGAGAACCCGACATAGTTAGGGGTCAGGTTCTGTCTCTTTTATTTTTCCCCCACAGCTCTTGCATGTTTGGAGAATATTTCATGTGATCATGAAATAATATACTCTTTCTATTGAAAGTGAATGAATCAGCTTCCAAGGCCATCGTTGTGAGAGAAGCATGGTTACCCAGGGCAGTGTTACGGCATTGGAAGTTGGCAGATCACTTTCAATGCATTCTTGTTGGTATAGAGGATAGTTGTCACTGTTCTGGAGTTTCTCCTCCTACTCCTCAGGAAAGAGGCCATACTTATCTGAGATTTTTTGATACCCCAAGGAATCCTTTGAATCTTTCATCTCTGCATATAAAGTCCATAAGGCCCAAATTATAATGACCGTGTGTGGACAAAACGAGGGCATGTGTGCATGACACTTTGAAGTGGGCTAAATGCTTTTGCCCCACTTTAATGGTGTTGGTGTTTGCAGGAGTCGGTGACGTATTGCACATTAATTCCAGCCACTGTAGGAAACTCGGCAGCGTCATGTGCCTTAAATGACTTCGGGCGCAGCAAATTAAAACTCCTCCAAGGAGTTTTAGTTTGCTGCCCCTAAGGCTGTGGAGCAAAGCAGCAGGCTCTGTGCAGCTCCATGGCTCTGCAGAAAGCCCTGCAGGCAGCCTGGCAGTAGCCCAGGAAGCCAGGCTCTTCCCAAGAAAAGCGGCAAGTCTGACTCTGAACCCCCCTCCCAGAGCCTGCCTGCCTGCCTGAGCTGTGTGGGGGCCCGGCGCTTCCCTCCGCGGCTGCGGCACCCCAGGACCACTCGAGCCAGGTGCCTGTGGGTGGGTGCCACCGGGAGGTGGGGGGGAGGTGGAGGGAGCACCAGCCCCTGTCCTGCAACCCAGGGACAGCTCCTCCTGCTGGCAGCTCATCCTCCCCTCCCCACCACAGAAGCAGGTAAGTGTGTACATGACACGGGGGTTTAATCAGCCCTAAATTGAAGTGGTGTTATTAAAAACCCGCCACTTCAATTTAGGGCCTCCACTTCGTCTACACATGAAAGACTCTTTCCTCCTTCTGAAACTAAACTAGTAGTGGTTTAGTTCCAAAAATAATATATCTTCTCTTATTTAAAAAAAAAGACTGATTGCTTGAATGCAAAGAGAAAAAATATTCCGTGTAGTCTGTAGTATCCATTAAAGGAATCAAATGACTCCAACTAAAATATTCTACAACATCCTCTCCATGTATGCATAGCCATTTATTGAGGGTTTCCCTTTGACTTGATGACAATTTGCTTTGAAAGCGTAATGCATAGCTTTTCTTCTAGCAGCCAGCACCTATAGTTATGAATCCTTACTGGACAAACTAAACTAAAAACTGTTTTATAAGCAAAGAAGTGCTTCTTAAGCAACTAAATAATAGAGTAATAAGTCCTTGTGAAAACTGGCTTTCAAATGAAGAAGGGGAAGAACCTTTGAACTGTGCCAACACCCACAGCACCGAATATTAAAACTCTACCAAGGAGGCACACTTCTACACTTGTGTAACTGGGGTTTTCCAACTAAACTGAAATCTTTAACTTTTCTCACTAATCTTCTCTCGCTATGACTTCTAACTGCTGCACTCCAGACCCCTGTTGTGGGTCTTTTACAGGTTCTTGTAAGGCTCCAAGCAACTCTTACACCAAGAGCATCTCACATTGTTCTTCTGGCATAAAAAGCTGCTTGCCAACTAGCTTCTCAGCTAGTAGCAAAGTGTCTGTTAGCAGTAGAACAGGGAGCTCCCTTGTTAATGGCTACCAACCAATTCCCTGCCTGCCCAGAAAATTGGTCAGACCTATGGGCTGCTATTCAGCTGGCTCTTATTGTGGCTACAATGAATCAATCTTCAATAGCAATGAGAAGGAGACCATGCAATTCTTGAATGACTGTCTGGCCTGCTACCTGGAGAAAGTGAGATTACTGGAGCAGGAGAATGCTGACTTGGAATATAAAATCCAAGAGTGGTATGAAGGTCAAACCCCGTGTGTATATACTGATTTCAGCTGTTACTATAAGATGATTGAGGAGCTCCAGCAACAGGTAATGGCCCAACAGAGAATCTTATAATCTATGCAAACGGCAGGTTGTTCTCAAGGCTGTAGGAATGCTGAAAGCATTTCTTCCCTTTTTCAGAGGGCAAAAAGAGTGGATGATAAATTGTGATAGTGTGGAATCATGTTCTTAGCTATCAGTAAGGATCTTTATTTCAGAGCTACCCTTAATCTTTTCTTTATATAAATCTATCAGTTATTTTGCTATTTATTACTATGCATTCTGATAGCAACAGAAAATGGAATTCAGGATCAAAGAATAACACTTTTTAATAATTGTGCTATGTATGTGCTTATGAGCATCCCTTCTTTAATGACCCTCTCTTTTCATTATAACTCAGAATTGGGACATAGATAGGAAATATTACTTTTCTGTCCAGTTCTTCTTCGCTAGATGTTGTTCTGCATTCCATTGGTTTGTATTGATGAGTTATCAAGGCTCATTAACGTGTACAGTTTTAGGCTAGGTACAGATATTCGAAAAACCCAAAGTGGAATCAATGTAAGTTATATGGTTTTCAGTAAGTGGTGTAGTTTAGATTAATAGTGTAAACAGAACATACATTCACTCTGAAAATCTTAAACTGGGTTCCACCATTTTTAAACAAGTCTATATGTGCCAAATTTTTGTCCTATCACTGGTATAGACTAGCTTTCTGTGCCAAACTTCTGTTGTGTTAGGGGTATAGACTGGTTTCTGATCACTTACACTGGTAAAAGTGTAATGTCTGTACCTGGCCTTAAAGTGCATGGACCACAAGAGGAGATTTAAATCCACTTGAAAGGTATACATATTTTATTTTAGATCTATTGCTACTTTGGAAGCTAATCACCTAAAACATCAGGATGGAGGGAGTCAAATGATTCATCCCTTGCATCAGTCTTAGTGACTGTGGGCTTAGATTTTGTAGTACTTTGTGTTATGCACCTCACAATTATTGCACTCACAAATCAGAGTATGGTAAAAATGCTAGATCTCTGCCTCCTGTAGAAATACAAGTATTGAAAAATTCCTTTCAATTTATTTAAAGTGGATATTTTAAAATGTTTTATTGTTTACAGGAAACCTCTTATTTTACAGATCTGCTGTGCTAAAGCTGATAATGCCAGACTCTGCCTGGATGTTGACAATCTCAAAGTGGCTTCTGATGACTATGCTACCAAGTAAGTCTGATACCAATTGGACTGTGAATCATTAGTTGACCCTCTAGGTCTTAGTTCAGGTTTCAGTTACCTTTTGTATATTAGAGAATTTTAAAATGATCGTATACTACAAGGTATATGAGACCGTTACTCTATCTGGGAGAGAAATCACTTACTTTACGGACAAAATTTTATGTTTTCCACACAATTTTGGTGCTAACTCACTTGCATTTTTCTATACAAGAAATAAAAAAAAGAAATTAAGGCTACAAAAAGAGTTGGTTCTTTTATTACAAGAGGCACAAATTTCTTAGGGTGATATCTTTTATTGGATCAACTGCATAGTTTGGACAGAGTTAGAGAAGCTTTCCAATGCAAAGCATTCATCAGGTCTGAGCAGTAAAAGCCAGCACAGCATAGTAAAAAAAACAGTTGTAAGAGAGGGGAGAGAATTATAAGAATTAATCTCATAATTTAATTGACTGTTTCTATTTTTCATGTTTGGTCATTGTCACATGTTGTGGTCCCATCTTTGGACCTTAGCAGATTAGAAAACATTACGGCATTTTCACCTAACAAGCTTTACTTTTGGTCCACTAAATGGAAAAGACTATATCAAGAAGTCTTACAAAGTGAATCTATTGTAGAAGGTAACACCATCTGCCATCATCTTTGCAAAATAAAAAAAAAGGAAGAGGCAATCTTGTATTCCTCCAAATTAACAGCAAAATATCCAATCTGTAATCTGAACAGTGAGGAATCATTTTTTATCAAGAGCTAGACTACCTCAAAAACAAGAGTTGTCAACATACGGAAAGAGTCAAGACATTTACAAATAATCCAAAAAGGACCAGTACAAATAAACTAAGAAGTAAACTTGAAAGAAAATTGTGCTTGTTCAGGCTTTGTTTTAAGGATTATTAGTTATTACTATGTTCTTGTCATTTAAAGGTATGAATACAAACATGGGCTTTCCGAGAGTGCCAAGGCAGACGTCAAAAGTCTGCGTAGAATTCTGGATGACCTGACCCTGTGCAAGGCTGACCTAGAGACAGAGCTTGAGGCCCTAACAGAGGAGCTCCTCTGCCTCAGGAAGAACCATGAGGAAGTAAGATAGTAAGCCAAAACAGTTAGAACTTAAATGGTACAAAAGACCATTAAAATGCATGTATGCTGTGAAAACTATAAGATAATGGATTATTATCAGCCATTACAGCCATTATTCTTCTCCACAATGATGGATTTCACTTTTTTGTTAGTACTCATTTCAGTATCAAATCCTCCTATCTCTTTTGAGGAGTCTCCCATATAAAAAAATCACTATTATCTGTCTAAATTCATATTGTCTTACTTTGACACAGCCCCAGATATTCTTGTAATTTTGACAGTTTCTCTATAAGCTAACGGGATCCACACTCAGTGTCTGTACTCAAAAGAAAATAGAAGACAATGTGTGATTTTCAAATACAGCCCATCAGGTCTCTGTATTATGGTAATTGTTTATTGCTGCTTACTTCAGAACATACTCATAGTAAAAGCCAAAAGGAAGCACTTTCTCCCCCACTTCCAACTAACTTTTCCTGAACAATGGAGAAATATTTTTTAAGTTACCCTTTTTCAGACTAGAGTAATGGAAAATAGATCATGGAGAAGGCTATACGAATAATTACCAGATCGGCTTCTATTTCTGCGTTAGGTTATAGCTGGGCTTGGTTAATCTCTGCTCGAGATATGAGAGCAAAGAGAGTCCTCTAAGAGGCTCAGGAAAATTCCAGACAGTGCTATTTAGTGGGCAGTGAAAAAAACAGATCCCTTCGAAATATTTACTCTCTTGTTCTTTCTTCTCCATAGGAAGCTACTCCACTTTGACATCAGCTTGGTGACCGTATCAATGTAGAGTTAGATGCAGCTCCATCATGTGACCTGAACAAGGTCCTGGAGGAGATAAGATACCAGTACGAGACCTTAGTTGACAAGAACCAATGTGACGTTGAGGGCTGGTACCACACACAGGTGGGCATCTCATAGTAGACAAATCACCAAGAAATTCCAAGCTCAAAAGATGCCCAACTGCCTTTTAAAGCGGAGTCACAATTTCTGACTTCCCCCTTTCATCTGGCATGTATTTCAGATGGAGGAACTGAATAAGGAGGTGATCTCCAGTGGAGAACAGCTGCAGGGCTGCCAAAATGAGATCATTCAGCTAAAACACACTGTTCAGGTTCTGGAGATCAACCTGCAGACCCAGCACAACCTGGTGTGTATTACTGTGAGTGCTCTCAATGCCTTTGACATCCCTGAAAATGAGCACAGACCCATGTTTGGCCTACAGCTGTAGTTGAAGTTCTAAGTCAGTGCTACTGCCTGGCCATTTATCTGTGTATCAGGATTCTCTTGTACTGAAACAGCAACCAGATTTCAGACATGTTTGTGACAACTGCCTTTGCAGCACAGTAAAAAAAGACCCTGATCAGCCCCCTCTGATGGCATGGATTTGAAATCACACACATAACACATGGACCTACCTGAACCTAGTCATTAGGGCAATGATTCTCAACCAGAGTGCCACTAAGAGCTGCAATTTTCCAACAGGGTTCTTGAGCCTATGCCAGGGTGCCTTGGTCTAAAAATATTGAGAACCTCTGCCTTGGGGAATGATTGTTTTAATCTCATATTGTCCTTTAGTTTGAAGGTGAACACCCCAGAAAATTGCTGCAACCTCGTAACATTCAGTTAAAAATCAGGACAGGTCATCCAGGATTTTCTAATACACAAAATCAGACAGTGATACCTGAATAGGACTCCCTGGTGCATCTACATAAGACACTTTACTGCGCATTAGACTGAGTTAATGCACATTAAAGCATCACCGTCTATACATGCAAAGCTATTACTGCACATTAAATTAGTCTAATGCATCGTTTGCTAGTAAATGGTGCATTAACTAATGTGCAGTAGCATATGTGTAGACACTGACTGGAAGCAAATTGCTCCTGGTCAGCCCAGGCAGCAGGGGACCACAATGGCTGCCTGGCTTAAGCCCCCAAGGTCCAGGGGACAGGGGGTAGCTGTCCTGGCTCCAGGACCCGCTCCCTGCCGGATGCAGGAAGATAGCGGCTGGCTCCAAGCCCCAGGGCGTGGAGGGAGCTGTCCTGGTTCAAGGGGCATTTCCCTCCCAGCTGCGGGGAGATCAGGATTGGAACCTGGCTCGATGGCACTGGCAAAAAATTCAGGCACATTACTTGCATGTGTAGACATACCCACTGAGTCTGTCTGACCCACTTTTTTCCCCTCTCAGAACACTGCTCTTGAAAACACTTTGGCAGAAACAGAAATGCACTACAGCCAGCAGTTATCAGAGCTCCAGTGTCTGCTCAGTGATGTGGAAGTACAGTTGGCTGAACTTCGATCTGACATAGAGCACCAACATGGCGAATACAAGGTCCTCTTGGATGCTAAGTGCCAGCTGGATTGTGAGATCAGCGTGCACCACAGGCTGCTGGATGTAGAGGACTGCAGGTACATATAGTGCAAGCAACTGATGGTCAAACTATGTACATAAACATTAGGGGTGTGCGAAGCGGGCCGTATTTGGTTCAGATTTGGCCCAATTCAGGGGACAATGATTCGACTCATTGATTCAGATGACTGTCCTGATTCAATTCAGCTGAATCTGAAGATTCACTGCTGATTTGGAGAATCAGCGATTTGGCCATAGACACAGCTTTATATATTTTTTCTACATACCTTGAGGTACCAGGTGCAGCTCATGAATACTGTGATAGTGGGGTGGATGGAGCACCCCACAGGAGCACAAGGGGGGGCAGTGTCCCCCACATGGTTGGCGGCAGACCCAGAAGTGGATCGGAAGTACTTTCGGTTCACTTCCAGTTCCACTGCCGAGCACTTGGGGAACTCCCCCCCGCCGCCCTGAGTCCCCCCCTGGCTCAGATATCAGCCACGGGGGGATCCTGGGTGCCACTCCAATCCCAGGAGGCACTGGGGGGGGTGTCCCCTGCATACTCAGTGGCAGACCTGGAAGTGGATCAGAAGTGCTTCTGGTCCACTTCCATGTCTGCTGCCAAGCGTATTGGTGACAGCATTCACCTTTGGAGTTGGGAGACCCAAACTGAAGTCTTTCCCCTTTGAGTTGGGAGAACCAAACTAAAGTTTTTCCTCTCAATCATTTTGATTCTCCCACATGTTCTTTCTTTCTCCTTGTCTGCCATTAGGGAGGCCTTAATGACTATCTGCAGCTGGGCTCAGGAAAGAGAAAACTATTTGTCCTGAATACTGACATTCTGCAATTATGAATCATCCTAAGGGAGAATCCCTTGCCTTCTCAGACAGCTCAGAAAGACAGCCTCTGCTTCTGTGCTTTTTTAGCAAATAGAAAAAGGACCCAGCTGCTAAAAGTGTGGTTCTCTGGATTTGGATTTTCCACATAATATTTTTGCTGTAAATTCTTTATGTTTCTTTTCATTTTATCTTGTAACATTAGTTTTTGAAAAGTCCTTTAGACATGTATTAAATCTATCCTAAATTATTTTATTTTTTGCTGGGCTACCCAACTCCCCTGGTAACCCAGGCTGTACAACCTCCATCAGCTCATCAGTTGGCAAACCAGTCTGGTCAGAACCAATCCAGTCACCAGTCTTTCCTTCTGACTGCACCCCCAGCATCCCAGCAGCAGAACCCAATCCGATTCAACCCTGCTGCAATTCCTGTGCACCCACTTCTCTTCTCACTCCAGGCTCTGCATTAGTAACTCAGATCTCCACTCAAATCTGTTAAATGTGAAAATTTTCACTAGAAGGAATAATAATATGAGGCAATGTTATGGGCTAGTGAAAGGAAAACTACAGTAGACTCAAGTCTCTAAGCTGAGATTTTCGTAGCTGTGCCAGGGACTTGAATGGTCAATTAGGAATCAAAATCCTTTGGATGGCTTTAGAGATCTCAGTCCTATCCATTTGCAAGTGCTGAACTGCTTGCCACATCAACATATTCTTCTGCTTTCAATGTGCCTCTTGCAGTGCATTTTCTGCCTTCTGTTCCACCTCAGTGTCTAAAGCAGATTGAAACCTCCTTATTTCTTAATAAAAAGGTAATTACTACGATATAGCAAACTTCTTTCCTTTTTTGTATTCATCCCTTTCATAGTCATTATTTTATATATTTCATGAACAGCTGTTTGAAAGCTGGCTCCTTTCATTTCATATTGGAACCCTGATTCCAGTTGGGTCCTTTAGGCTAGGGGTGTCAAACTTACCCCGTGCCCTGGGTCAGAAACAAACTGCAGGGCTCCTTTGTGGGCCAGATCCACAGGGCCAGCAGCAGCAGCCATCGTGGTGGTGGCGACTGGGCACAAGTGGCTGCAGGGGAAGTAGGACCATGATGGCATGGGTGTGAGTAAAGGCTGTGCTGACAAGGGCCAGATGTGCTGGGGTGCCAGGAGCCTGGATTTTGCAGCACATCCCACTTACCACTAACCACAACCCCAAAATCCTTGGCCTGCTGGTAGCCCACAGGCCATGTTTGTCACCTTTCCTCTGGGCCGTAACAAATATAAACAGTGGCATTTTACCTAATAACCTCCAGATTTAAAACTATCAGGTAAACAACACTAAGATATTTTAGTAACAAGAGATGCTTGAACAGGTCCACAGTTTCACAGATTTTTCGAAGAGGAAGATAAAGAACTTAAAATTGGATCCATGTAGTACGAGAAAGACAGACAGTTTTAAGGAGGGTCTAGACCTAGGCAGAACATTGAAACTGTTATAGGGCAGAGTAATGGGGAAAGAGTGAAGGGAAGCAAGGTGAGTTTATTAAAGGTTAAAGGGGAGGAGGTTGCAGTAGTTGTGGTAAGAAATCATCAGAGCCTGAGCAAGGTTTTGAAGTTAACCAACAAGAAAAGATAAGTGGATCTTGAATTACTGAATAGGAAGAAGTGGTAGGATTTGGTGTCCGGGGTGGGGGGGCAGGGGAGGAAACCCAAAAGATAGGGGAAACCCTGGCAGGGGGGAGAAATGGGGAGCCCCAGGGGCAGAGGGGAGACCAAAATGGGAGTGGGGGAAAGGGATTCTTACCTTCCAGTCCTCAAGGCTCCTGCTTGCCTGAATGTGTGAATGCTCCACACTCAAGCTAACACTAACACCAATCAACTTTTGAGAAGCTTAAAGTGTAATGTGTAACCATGGTCAGCAGTGCTTGCCTGAGTTTAGGGGAGGGGAGTGGTCAAAAGCGGAGGTAGATTTAGTAGCAATTACACATAAGGGAAACTGCACTTTGTCAGGGAGTAGGGTCCCTAGAGATGGCCGTGATACCCCTAGGGCCCTGTGATCATGCCAGCTCCACCCTGTGGATGCCTTCTCTTCTCCCTTGCTGCCACATCTTGTTGGAAACTGGGGACAGGTGCTAGTGGCATACGTTGTAGCCGTGTTGGTCTAAGGACATGGCAGGAAAGGTTCTTTGGGTCAAATTGGTATCTTTTAGTAGACCAACTGAATAGTTGGAGAATTCTATCTTAGCAAGCTTTTGGGTTGAAAACGCTTCATCAGGCTAAGAAAGCGCCTGCAGTTGGTGTGTGTGCGCTTCCTGGAAGGAAGGAATAGGAAAGAAGCCAGAGGCTGGCATGCAATGCAGGTGAGAAAGCCAGTCAGTGACAATGGAAATGGAGGCGGCAGAGGGTGAGAGACAGGCTGGGGGGTCGGAAGAGGGATGTAGCAGCACAGGTAGAAGTGCTGAGGTACATGGGGAGTCAGATGTCTGGCAGGTCGCAGTGTGTCAGAACTCCACTGCCTATACTGAGTCCATGAGTTTCTGTACCTACTACCTAGGAGGCTGATGAAGTGCAGCTCTGAAGAGGGTTTGTAAGTTCAAACAAGCACCTAACCTCCTCACCAGAACTGAAGCCAGCTTCCTACAGCTCAAAACACAAAACCTGCCAACTATCTCCAGTACCCCACAAACTGCGCACCCGAATCTATCAAAGACAACAAAACCCAACT